AGCCTTAAATAACAGCAGAGAGTCTCTGGTTGGTCCAGGCTCAGCAGAAGTCCGAAGGAGAAATGTAGAGGTTCAAACTGAGTTCCAACACAAAAAAATATTTTCTGCACGTGCATTTGTTTGATACACGAGTGCTAAACTAAAACCCCCGCACTGAAAACTGTCAGTACAACTATGTGTACTGTTACTGGAAGTAAGGCAGTAAGGCTCATTATGAATGTCTGACAGGAAAGCGGACACAAACTTCAGGCTGGACGACCACAGGTGCCTCAGTTGGAACTAAAATTCTTCCTTTCTTGTGACGCTGGCGGTCTGTCTAGTTGTAGGGGAACTGAGGAAGTTAACGTCTTCTCATCTTAACAACTTTTACTTTACACCTCTTAGTTTATAAAAAGCACAACAGACAATAAAGTGGACTTTCACTCTTTCAGGACCTTTAAAACTCTGATGCCTCCTGATGGCAGGACACGGCTCGGAGGTGTAACCGGAAACAGAAGTGAACTGTCTTCCGGCCAGATGACAGGAGAAGATATTTTTAAATTTACGTCGTCCACACGTCAGAAGAAGAAGAAGAACATGTCCCTCAAGCGTCTAAACAGCATAACGAAGTGTTCTTACCGGTACAGCATGATGTCGTACAGTGTCCGTCCCTGTACGTTCAGCATGTGGGAGTACACGGCTCCGTGCTCGGGCTCCTCCAGCAGCTCCACGTCGTTGGTTATTATCCCCTGAAGGAACGGACTCGTGTCGGGTCCCTGGATCTTCAGCAGGGTCCTGTGTGGAAGGTGGTAACACACGAACTGTCCGGGGACATCTTTCCGGTTGTCCGGCGGCGGACTGAACCTCCGGACGCCGACCGCCGCTGCAGCCGAAACACCGGACAGAAGCTTTCCGGACAAACCGGCGTGTTTTCCGGCGGCGAAGGCTCCTCTGGCGAAGCACAAAACCCCCATGATGTACCCGGACACAGGAGAGTGTAGAAGGGACCGTCTGCTCTTTACACAACAGCTACATAACCGAGGACATCACAGCTCACTACAGCTGACCGGCCTCCATTTTGAAGTCCCACAATGCACTGCGCGAAAACACCGGAACACGTGTGTCGCACTATTTAGCTTCCGTGTAGACGTTTAAATCTTCTGCTCATGAGAAATTCACATTTAGTTCAATGAAAATAATAATAATTAAGTAACACAACATTCAGTTACAAAAACGAGAGAGATCTGAAATGCTGCTGTAGGAGCCATGAGTGAGTTTATTTATTGTTATTGTTATTGTTATTATTATTATTATTATCATCGTAAGGTTAAAGGACGTATGGATTGTTGTCCGTGTTTATTTTGGTTCTGATATTATTTTGTGGTCATACTGAATAGAGGGACGGTGGGTCACATGGGATATTACTTGTTCACCTTTCATCGTCTGCGGGAGAGAGGGCCTGAGCTGCTGGGTCACAGTGTGTTTTGTTGTATTTTTCTTTTATCGCTGAAAGACGAGAAGCAACTTTCCAGACACAACATTTAAGGACTTTTATTTATTTATTCATTTGTTTGTTTGTTTATTTAAATATAAGATACTAAATGGAATTGGACCCAAAGCCTTTGCTCTGATGCCTGGACACACACCTTTTTTATTTATTTTTTTTAATCTGTTAACACACCAAAAATACTATAAAATAATTGGGAGGGGGGGGAATTCAGAAAAATACTCGAATTTTTCCGTAGTTGAAATTCATTTTCCAGCTTTAATTTTACATTGGGTCATGTGTGTTTTGGGGCTTTTAATGTTTAATAAAAACACATTAATGTTCATAAAAACAATTAAATTACCTGTTATATACTGTATACACTAAATGATATAGATATTGATAAATGATTTATAACAAAAACTGTATTTTCACTTATTACCAGCGTTCATTTAACATTTTGGTTGTGTAATTCAGTCATTTTTTGTAAACTCAGTAATTTTTGTAATGATATTGATAGTTTAGTGTATTTCAAAAATATAAAAAACTGAAAGAAAAAGAAAATCCTCTAAAATGACAGATTCTCTCTTCTTTTTAGTATGGAGCTCACCTACTGTGTGCTATGAGCAGCACTCTACATCTGTTGCTATTTATACTAAAAATTAATAGAAGGATTTATTTCCACAATCAGTCTTTTGGGCTGCATGCCCTTGTTACACCAATAAAACATATATATTTTATTTTTATTGCTTTAGCAGATTTTTTAAAAAGTGCTCTTTTCTCATAATTAAGTTAGTAAAATGTCATTTCTTTGGTTGTAAAAAAAAAAAAAAGAAGATATGCCCCGCCTGCAACAGTGCTTTGCTATTAGTATCCATAAGTACTACTGTCTTGTCGGTTCACTTCCACTTTTTTAGAAGTCTTCTTACAGAACATTTACTTGAGACGGATTAACTGTGGAGTGTATATAAAAAAAGAATCTAAACATGATCCATCTCAAGCATGACATACATAGCAGTCTGCAGAATGAGACGTTCTCGGTGATGCAGCATTATGTAATAGTCAAACTTTCCTGCAAACTTCTGTGGAAAAACTCCACGTTTTTGCCTTCAGAAACAAACTGCTGTTATCCTCACAGTAAGAAAGAAGAAGCAGAGAGAGCCGCCGTGACGCGGGCAGGTTTCAAATAAGTTTATTTGTTCATGAATAAAATACTAGAACAGTCTTGAGTTTGAGGCACTTTGAAGTATGAAAACAGTGAAGGCAGGATTAACTATTACTCTGAAACCAATTTTGGAGACATACAGCTTCGGTGACAGAAAAAGAAAAATGCTCATTTGTATCTCATCTAACATGCCTAAAATGAATCACTGAAAAGCTAAGGATGGGGTTTCTACTGTCGTCTACGTGTACCGTGTATGTTCCCAGTTGTAAAGCATGCATCATCTGCTTCAGGTTGCAGAAAGTCAGTATTTAGTTTAGAAAATAATTAGATTTTGCGACTCACTTTTCTCTTTCCCTTTAAGTTTGACACTGCAAAGCTTTAAAAACAAGACAACAGATGAAGGCGCAATGACTGAAGATTCTTACGCTGACACATCCCTCTTTCCTTACCTTTATCAAAGCGTTTCACATTTAATTTGGTTCAAGGGACACTCATCCATCCTGCATCCAAAACTATTCCCCCAAATATTAAACATGCATCTTTCTGACAACAATCATCGTTCTTCAGAAACGAGTCACTGCGTATTTCTAACGTTTTTTTTCATTTCCAAATTACGATACAGTCACACACTTTCAAAGTTAAATCTCTCAGTTCAGTTGTAAATCAGATAAATAGCTCGATGCAGTCTGTGTGTGTGACTTGACATTTTAGTTGGAATTAAAGATGCTGAGCTTAGTGAGCGTATGTTAACCCTATCCAGAAGCTATGGCAAGCACAACATGACACACAACAGTAACAAGGAAGATTCATGACATTTGATCATTTCTTCATCTGTGTTTTCTTTTATATTCCCAAAAACTAGTCCTACTGTGTGCTGTACTTCTTCAGCTAGTGTGATTGAAATCTCAGTTGTTATTGTCCAAAGTTGTATCTCTCACACGCACACACACACACAAATCCTCCAGCTGGGTCACAGTGCAGTTCTGGAGACTCAAAAGTTTCTTACTGTTAATTTATTAAATTAGATTTATCTCTAGATCCAGACAGAGGTCTTTCCGTTTTTTACAATGGTTGCAGTCTTCTCTGTGGCTGACTTTGGCCTCGCTCCTTGTTTCTCCTGGACTGTATTCACTCGGTTTTGCTCCGCCATCGTGCCCCCAGACACAGGACTGCTGGTTCTGGAGGTTTGCTGGTTGTTTTTGGTTTGATATGTTTGAAAGGCCATGTCGAGCTGCTCCTGCGCGACCCGCAGGTGCCGGTGCAGACTTGCGAGATCCGAGGGGATGTTCTCGTCCGGACTGGTGCACTGCTGCTCCTGGGCCACGTTGGCCATGTTCTGCTCGTGGGTGATGAGGCTGTTGGGGATCCTGCTGGGTTTGTCTGTCTTCATCACAAGGTTGTACCCGGGAGGCGAGGCCGGGATGTTGCGGGAGAACGGGTAGCCGTAGGACGTCCGCCGGCCCCGGTTCCTTTTCATGCGAAGAGTATCCCGAAACGTGCCAATTCCCAAGTGAAGCATCTCGCACACGTTCAGCACGAGGCAAAGGCAGCTGACCACATACATAATGAGGAGGAAAATAGTTTTCTCTGTGGGCCTGGAGATGAAACAGTCCACTCTGTGTGGACAGGGAACCCTGTTACACACATATGACGGACTAACTCGAAAACCGTAGAGGAGGTACTGTCCGGCGAGGAAAGCGATTTCAAAGATGGCTCGTGACATGAGCTGGAGAACGTAGATTCTCATCAGGCCTTCTTGCATGATTCTTCTGCGGCCGTCGTGCTTTGGCGGGTCTTTGCTCGTGCTGTTTGCTGGTTCAGGCTTGGCCTCCTGCACCTCCAGTGTGTCCTCATAGATCATGGGCTCGGCGTCGTCGTCTTCCTCCTCCTCCAGGACGTCCTCCAGGTGGTGGGTCTCTCTCCATCTCGAGTGCGGAGGAGGCTTTTTGCGGAGTCTTTGGTGCTTCCTGCGCTCCTCCTCTGAACTTCGGGCGATCTTGTGGATGGCGTAACCCATGTACATGATCGATGGAGTGGATATCATGATGATCTGGAAGACCCAGAAGCGAACATGCGAGAGGGGAGCAAAGGCATCGTAGCACACGTTGTCACAGCCCGGCTGCTTGGTGTTGCAGGTGAACTTGGTCTGCTCGTCGGAGTAGATGGACTCACCTCCCACCGCTGTGAGCACGATGCGAAAGATGATGAGCACCGTCAGCCACACTTTCCCCACGAAGGTGGAGTGATTGTGGATCTCTTCCAGGAGGCGAGTAAGAAAACTCCAGCTCATGTTGCTCTTACAAGCTTTTCAACTAGAATCTGTAACAGAAAGAAAAAAACAGCTGATTAAGATCCGAGTGGGGACGTGTACAGGATTAGTTTTGGACTTCGGAAAGCCATGAGAGGAAATATTAGACATTATTTGCACTACACAAAAATCACTTTGACATTTGTATATTCTTATTTGCATTTTATATTTTATATTTTCTTGTTGTTTATTTTACTTACTGTGTATTTCTGCTTATTTATCTGTATTTATGGTGGCGGTAACTTTACTCTCTCTGCTTTGACAACCAAATTTCCTGTCGGGGATTAATAGAATATTTCTATTCTATTCTATTCTATTCTATTCTATTCTATTCTATTCTATTCTATGTATACATTTCAGTAAACTGTATTTCAGGAATCACGGTAAATATTTCTGTTCTTCTTATAATGCATTTTTTAGATAAAATATTTGTGATGCTTCTCTAATTAAGCAAATCCGGAGCAGTTACTTTGAAAGGAAAGTAAAGAATTCCAAACCACAATCTTTAACTCTTGGACTCAATCTGAAATCAGTCAAATCCCTGCAGCACATCTCTAACTTAGTCTTAGTTTGTTTCGGCCGCTTTGCGAACGCTGCATGTCAGACGTACAGTAAACTATTGTTGTCAGTACAGTGGGATTTCTAGGCTTCGATGAGACATCTGTCTGGAAGTGACTGCGCAGCAACACACGAGGCAAAAGCTTGTAGTGACTCATGATACAAGTCGTCATCCAGAGACGCTGGTATCATTTTTGAGATGTTTGAAATAGCAAAAGCAAACATTCAAAGACAAATAGAGGATACATCATCAGCCACACACAAACCCACCAGCAACCATTTTTACATCAAGACGGGGCAAAAGGAGGAGGACGTAGGAAACATGAAATGAAACTGACACGGGTGGACGTATGGGATCTGGATGTATGTAAAGGCCATTCAACGGCCACACGGCTGCACAGGGAAACAGATGCCATGAGATCTCACGGTGTCACTTTCTCCTCACAGCCAGCATCAGTACGGACTCTGTGAGGCGGCCGTGAGGCGACAGCGTTCTGTCATTCTCCCATTCATTGTGCCGAGTTGCAGGGTTCACGTTGATCTCATGACTGTGACACTGTATTCCCTGGCGTGTGATGTGCCATCTCCTCTGCCATCTGAGTGAACAGGAGAGGCTTGTTGCTCCGCCACAAGGCCTCCCCTCCAGATCCAGCACCGCAGACGCTGGGGAGAGCTGCAGCCACATGGAGGCAGATGGCACCTTTGGTGGGCAGCTCATGGCTGCCCCAGGATGGCACGACAGAAGGGCTGCTACGCTCAGGATTCACGCTTGATGTTTGAGTGAATTTGTTGCTTATTGCAGCATCAACTTGAGTCTTGCATCAACAACAGCTCCTATAAGCTTGCTGTTGGTGTGTTTAGAAAAGTGTTTTCCAACCTGTTATGACAAATATGTGCTGCGTTCTCTGCAAAACGGCTCTCCTTCCAATAGAGACTTCAGTTTGAGGAGTTTTTAGCTGAAGATAAATATGAACTGTCTCACAGTAAGCGCAGTAGGCCAGGTCTGCACAGATACTTCTAATAATGACATGGAAATAGAGAATTTGGACGAAATAAAAGCTGCGATCATTATTGAATTAATACATGTTTGATTAAAAAATATATTTTTTAAGATTAAAAGCAACTAAATTAAAGTACCACACAGTTTTTTTTTTGTTCTAATCATTTACAAGTAAGGAAAACTGTGATATTTTTTAGAATTTAAGTTGTTATTGTACAGAAACAGGAGGTGTAGGTGTATTGCAGTTACAGAAAGTATTCAAATATGAATTATTACACTCCTGATATTTAAATTGCACAACAACAGAACCATTTCTTAATAAAGTCGCATTACAAATGGATATTCGATTGGATATCAGCGTGATTAAATCATACATCCATAGTTAAGAACATATGTTTCTCCTGGGATCAGATATTGAATGCAGGTGAAGAGTGAATATATTTTACGCTGCTGTTGCTGCAAACATTCAGCTGCTTTGGATTTGTTCAAAATGTTCAACAGAATGTATGAAAGGCTGCTGCAGTAGCACAAAATTGTCTGTCAACGGGGTCAGCGCAAACATAGACCCTCACAAGCTGTCTTCAGTTTTATTTCAGCAAAGCAGGAGTCAAACGACAGAGCAGTGGAATAAAGAACGTTACACAGTCTGTTCAGGGGGAAGTCATCCGAAACAACTCACCTGGAAAAGTTGCAAAAGCATTTCCCATCCTGAAGGTCTCCTTTGCCCTCTCTAGATATCCCCTGCACAGTCTGATCCGTGGAATAGCACTTCCATCCTAATGTCTTGGCCCTCTCCGTCTTATTGACAACTTCCAGGAGGACGAGAAAAAACGAGAGCAGTGACTAAACTTGTCAGGCTGGACTTTTAAATCCCAGTTTTCCCACTCTGTGAGAAGTGAGGTCTCGCCGCTGTGAACGCCTCACATTCTGGCTCGTGTCTGGTTTCTATTACACACCAGCCTTCTGCCCAAGAAGGAAGTGTAAAAAACAGAGAGGCTGAAAAAAAAAAATCCTCCTCTGGCAAGTGACCCTCATCCAAGGGTTCAGACTTCAGGATATCGTACTGCAGATTGAAATGAACACCCAGCTGAGGGAGCGCGTTAATCGCCACACAGACAACCGCCCCCCAACGCTCATCTACAACATTTGTAACACAGATGATGACTCTCTCTCTCTCTCTCTCTCTCTCTGTGTCTCTTTATTCTCTTACTTCCTCTGTGTCCTCTGTGTTTCCTTCTGTCTATGTCTTGCAGGTTAATATCATCGTGCACCCTAACAGCAAAGGCTCACTTAGAAGAAGGTAATATGAAGGCATAGTTGTGTCGCTCATGTTTGTAAAAATCCAATTTAAACCCTCAATTTCCTTCTACCTTCTATTTCAGAACTCAAACACATCAAGCAGAGACCCTCTAGATTATCTGTCAATGAGATAAGGGTGGGCGACTTTATGTAAAAGACGTCTGGGGGAGACAAAGACGGGGACTTTGAGGACAGCAGTGTCACGCAGACATAAGCCACCTTGCCCCGACACGGATCCGCTGCAATGTAACCAGCAGGTATGTTCAGTTATATCAAGTGTCATAATATTTAGATCTCCCGTCCAGGCAGATGGCCAGATAACGGAGCAGTGGACAGGTCGGACTGTGCACTCCCGCTACACGTCTTTTCCGACTTAATGTTTATGCTTCAAGCTTTCACCTTCGCCCGCAGTAGCACATATTGTTGCTCAGGATATAGAAATGGATTTTTTGTTAGGAGTGGCAGATAAAAGTCTTTTCTTCTCTCTTGCAAACACAATTCATTAAATTTTTTTTTCCAGTCTGAAAAGGACACAATAAAGAACAATGGAGGAGGTGATTCATGCAGGATTAAAATTGGAAAGGAATTTCTTCCTCGCTCTTTTTTTTTGGACATGCCAGACCTTGCTGTCAAGTTTTGGAAGAGATCTAAACTCAACTACAGTTAATAGAGTGCAGATAAACGGGTTAGTGTCTGGCTTGCCTTTATGAAATGTGCCTGGTCATTGTCACAGTGACCATATTATTATAGTGTTACTTTCACAAGGCCCTCAATAACCCTTTAATTATGATTTGTATACGGCTATAAAGCAAAGAGTAACGCACGGCAACAGCAGTAAGTCTGAACTCGGTCAGATCACACTTCCAACTGTGTTAGCAGATAAAAGTCATCCTCGCTGCTGCCATAATTAAGGCAACACAAGAAGTCTTTGCATTAGGATCTCATTCTGTTTGAGTAGTTTGTGAGTCTAAAGAAGGCTGTGAGAGGCGTCCATCTGGGCCTGCAGGACCCGTCCTCCAGAGGCGTCGCCTTCGAGGCTCGCCTCTCCGTCTGACGGAGGAGATGTGGCGTAGCGAGCACCCCTGGTGCAGCAGTGAGGAAAAGGAGACGGGGGATGCTGCTGGAATGACTAGAACATTTGGAGTTTGGACATGTGCTCTCCCCGAGGGACCGATAAGCACGTGTTGTTAAGTTGCGATGCATTCCTCTGCTTCCAAAATCTCCCCATCATCCCAAAGACACAGATGGTCCATGGAGACGGCTAATAAGTGAACATTAGAGTGATTTAAAGGCAAAATCAATTAGAGTTTATGTTCCTGGACATTTACAGAACCTGCTGGATGTGAAGTGAGGACTCAGGTTTTTGTTGAATACTAATATTCAGGTCTGTCTAATGAATTAATCAGAACCGAGCTCACACGACTCAAAAACAAAACCCCACCAGTCTTCACTGTGCTTCTTATTTTAATGTTTAAAAAAAACAAAACAGTTTTAATCGAGCAGGAAGGTATGCTAGCTCAGCATTTATTTTAAAAAAAAACAGAAATGATTATGTAACAAGAACTAACTCAGCAAAACAAAAGCGTTCTCCAGAGACTAGATTCAAACGTCTGATTTGCACAAAGTTATCGAAAACGATAAACAAACGCGCAACAAGCCACGGAGTCGACGCGGTGACTGTTTAGTTGTGAATACACAGTGTTCCCGTGTCCTCGGACAAGTCAGGCTGCTCTAGCTTTGGGAAACTGTATCTCATGTTGATAAATATTGATTGGACTCCCCAGAGCCAGGAAAGTATTACAGTATTCCCCTGTAAGACATTATTTGACATTGCTCTTGGTGGAAGGACTGGCACCATGTGACAGCCAAAAGAGAGTGTTTAATATTCATTAGGTCAAGGTTATATTTATTGTCAGCCGTTAAATAGATTCCTTTTTTTTCCCCAACAGGGTAGCATCTGTGAGATATAAACAGCTTTATAAAAAAATCCAACGTGACAGCTGACAAATGAACACATGAGCTTTAAAACATAATTAGCAATAATAAAAAACACTCACTCGTAGCCTGTTTTATAAATGCATAAGCCTGTATTCATGTATACTGTAATGACAGAGATGTTTAAGCTGAATCGCTGTTTCCTTCCCAGACGGCTTTGCCTTGCAGAGGTCACTGGGAGCTGAGAGGTTTCTGCAGCGTAGCGAGGATCCAAGTGATGCAACTTGGAGGAGTGAACATCTCGACAACTCTCCTTGGCCGCCGCCGCCAATGTCAACACAAGAGTTTTTTTATCCGCATGTATGTGTTGAACAAAGTTGATGTGAGCAGACTGGGGGCTGTGGAGGTCTGTGTTTATGTAACAGATCAAGCTCCACCATGTGACTCGGATGCCCCCCCACCCCTTGGAGAAAAGAGTGACACAAGACACCAGAGCGAAAACACGCAACTTGGTGCTTCGGACTCCTCCTCTCGCATCCTCTCCCGACCGCCACCGTTAAACTGCTCTTACCAGGCTGTGAGGGGTTATCCCATAGGCAGCCTGAGAGTGGTGGCAGTCCCATCGCATTTGCTCATTTTCCTCCCAGTTTCTCGGCCGAGCCTATCCTACCCCCGGGCCGAGTGCGTCCCGTGCCAGTTTTACTAAGGCCGGACTCCACTGAAGCGACTGAGATGAAAACCCTTGAGGTGGATGCCAACAACTTCCCTCAGCCGGCGCTCTTGCGTCTCCCGCATACGAGCAACTTGTGCCTGAGTGTGCTTTACTCCCAAAACAACTCTTTTCATTGTTAATTTTCGTGCTAAAATAGCCACACAGACACGCACCTCAGTCAGGTGATGTTTTTGATCGTGTGAAAGCAACAAGACACGTAAAACAGAAATTCATACCAGGCGTCCTTGTGCCCATCTGGACTCACTCAGAGATGGCAGCACAAATTATGTAAAGCGCTGCAGCGAGTGAGACGACATTTAAAAGGCCCTGAACAATGATGATGCTCCGCTGTTTAATCTTTAATGCAAAAAGTGCAATTAAGTGCAATCCCACTTAAAAACTATGTGCAAAGATGAAATATACAGAGGAGCAGGGTTCAGGTTTCCTCTGCACATACTGCAATTAGCATGAAAACAGTAGAGAAATATGTAGAAACTGGATAGAAACTTAACTATGTAAACAATATACTTTATCATATCAGTCTTGCCGGAGTCGTCACACATTGCTGTTATGTTTAACGATTTTTTTTTAAACCAGTGTTCGTTTGCAGGACAGTGTTGAATGCACAGCCGAGCCCGTCTGGCTGCAGGCTACGTGACACAGACGACTAATGTCATGCTTTCACTTCTTCAGCAGTATCACCATCCGACAAGTGCACCTCGTGTGTCACGTGTCGCTCGAGGCCGTCTTCATGTAAAACAGCCATTACATGAAACTATCGTCGTTGTTCTGAATCAAAAGTTCAATTAGTTAAATTAGAACTTTTGTCTCCCCCCTCTGGCAGTGGAATTAATTACACTTAATATGTTGACACGCTTACAACGTTCTAACGAGTTTCTTTTTATTTAGGGCGTCAGTGGCCTTTCTAAGAACTGTTCTCGGTTTCTGATAGGCTCTTCGTGGCCTGTTTCATCCTCCTCACCTCAAACAGACCGATTTTCACGTACGTTTCATCGCCGGCGTGGAAATATCGCCAAAGAAGCCAGATTTTAAAAGCGAAACAATCCAGAGAGATTCGCCTGGCGCTGATCGGCTTAACCGGCGCTGTCTGAACTTGTTTGGCGAGAACAGATGTGCTCGTTTACACGTAAAAGTCTCACACTCACGCACCTCATCAACTCAAACTGGCTCGACAGCTCATGAATCACAAAATTGGTTAATAATAGGGCACCGAGGATTTGTTTCTGGTGTTTTTCCAGAGGAATCTGGGGAGTTTGGAGAAGCAACAAACAAATGACGCATACTTTCCAGGCCAGAATTTAAAAATGCGGCACTTAAAAAAAAAAAAGGAGAGAGAATTTAGTGTTTTGGCTTTGAATGATATAATATAATTAACCATATATTATTTTCTTACACAGCATTATTTTACACTCCCCGGCTGATGAGGTTCTTCATCAGGGCAGTAAAACTCACAACCACCCTTTTCAACTACAGCAGTGCTTTGCTTGCAGAGCTGCAGGCCCTTAATCTTTGACATGATCTTGTCTTAACTGTCTATGTCACAGGCTGAGCTGGGGCAAGCCCAAAGGAGCAGCAGACCTAGTCAGGGTCATTTGGACTATCAGAGATATGTTACTGCGGCTCCTCCTTCCTTCCAGACGCCTTAGCGCCGCTGCTCTTCTCTAACTAAGTGAACTCCAGACACTGATAGCGACGCTGCAGGAGCCCCTCTGATAGCAGCAGCACACTCTGCGTCTCCGCTTATGCAACAAAAGCTCACATCAAAACTGTACATACATGCTCAGACTGTATAGTGTAACAGTTGACACGTAACGTTCAATGCCAGCGATGATAAAACGCAATCTGCAGAGCAAAACATTAACCTTCAAGGACTTTGTGATTAAAGTGAAAACGTGAGCAGCAAATATGTGTTCTGTGCTAATTAATAAAATGCTAATTGTTCTTAACTGGATCATAGTTGTAGATTTTTAAAAACCTGTTTTAATCTACAGCTTCTCTACTTGAGCATTTTGAGCCACTAGATGGCAATCATGCATTCAATTAACACAGTCCTCATGAACTTTAACAAACCTTTCGTCGGCGCTCTGACAAACAGGTCATCGACCGGTCTAGACTCGTCACCGACCATGTGCGGCGATAACAGTCCTGCTATTGAGAGCAATGACTCCAAATAGCATTCGCTGGAAATCATTCAAGCAAACCTGCTGTGCCACATTCTCAAGGCCGCAGCCTGAACTCATCAGCAGCATTTCAAGGCATTTATGGCACCCAACTATCAGTGAGGAGTGAATGTAGTGTAGTTTATGGTGCAAAATTAATCTCCATAGCAGTGCCATATAAAACAAAAAGAGATTCCAGAAAATGCGGTACAACGATTCACATTACATCAGAAACAGGAAGGCTTGTCTGCTATGATAAGTTTCTTTTTAATTGCTCTGCTGTTAAGTTACTCACATTTTCCATCACTGATAAAACTTCCTTCCCGTTCTTTGGTTTGGAAAATTGCAACGTCAACTTTTTGGGAGGATATAAAAAACAATATTATTAAAATGATCAGGACATAAACCGGTGACTTGCTTTTAGTGGGATTAGTTTAAGGCAACATTTGATGAAACATCAGATAATAAACTCCTTTGAGAAGACACCATGTGACACAACAGCACACTATAAGACAACCACAAGCTTTAAAGCATAACAGGAAGCCCTACGTTTAGTCCCTTCTCTTAAGATTGTATAAAAAGTACCGAGCATACCTGCCTTTTTTCCGCTGCTTCAACTTGCACTGGGGAAGTTTTAAGCCACAAAGCTAACGAGATCATACAAAAGAACCTCCAGCGTAATCCACAGCACAACAGTGGGAAGAGGGAAAAGAAAAAAAGGGACAGCGGAGGGCTGTACGTACCTGTCCATGTGGATAAAGCAGTAAGTTTTTCTGTGCTTTACGGTAGAGCATCCTGGGCGGGCATCCAGAGGCATCGTTTCACTGCTCAGGCTCAGAAGCAGGATGAGAGAGACAATGGGTCATTTTTCTTCAAAACCCCTCACCACCAAGTACAGGCAGGACACTCAGGAGACCAGCATCCTGCCAAAGGCCCCATTGTTCCCCGGCTCGTCCGCCTCCATTGCCATGACCACCGACTGTTTATCTGTTTAATCCAGGACGACTCCTGCTCCAACCCCATTCATTCACCCAGAAACCAACAGTGTCGCAGCTTTTCCTGATTTGTGCGACTGTACAAGTGTGTGCATTATTTCCAGCATGTTATTTTCGGAGCTTCCGTCTGATGCACAAATGAAGAAACAACAAAGGTTATTTTCAAGGCCGAAGACTTTGGCCAAAAGCAAAATGCATTTCCTCAGCTGGATGCAAAGGGCCGTCTTTGTTTTTTTTGTCAAGTGATGGGAATATGGCATGACAACTCCTTCCCCTGCCGTGCCATGGCTTGCCAAAAACTTGAAGACTGCAAAACAAAACAAAAGAAAGGCTGTTGTGTTTGGTGTGGCGTGTGGAGTCAGTAGCAGCTACATGACAAACCAAAAACCAAAAACCAAACCTCGTGTGTGGGAGTTGCAAAAATAAATAAAACTATTTACAGGTTTCATTGTTCAAACATGATTATTATAAGTGCTTGTCATAGTTTATTCTTAGCAGCAAATTATGACTAAGAATGCAGAAAACAAAAGTCTACGTATTCCAATAAATCCCATCCATTCTTGAATTAATTTGTTTTACCAAAAAAGGGCCGAATATCCTTTTCTTTAAATATATGTTTTTTGGGGGGTTTTGGCTTTATTTAGAGCAGAACAGACAGACAGGAAAGGAGAACAGGGAGAAACCTGCAGCGAAGGGTCGTGAGCGGGAGTCGAACCCACGACCGTTGTGTCTGGGAGCTACAGCCCCTGTTCACGGGTCGCCCGCTCAGCTAGGTGAGCTGTAGGGGCGCCCCGAACGTCCTTCTCAAATACTCTTTCGCTTACTGACAGCTACTTCCAGCCCTGGAGATACTGGGACTCCCACCAAGCTGCAGCCCAACAATAACAAGAACCCCCCATCTGATTAAAAGCAAGTTTGTTAATTATTTTTTAATACGCTAGAAGGAATATGATGTGCAAATAAGCACATACGTATTTCCACCTTAATCTACTGAAGAGCATCTCAAAAACACAGATTCAGACTTCCAGGGTTTCATATGTCTTAAACCTGTGGCGTCAGTCACTGGTTTGTTTTTGTATTTTTTTTTTGACTCAAGTCCAGTATTACATTTTTCGATCGTTTAGCACAGAGTAGTTTAACGTTGTTTGAGCACAGTTATACATTAGCTCGTGAGTTTGATCTGCCGTGAGCAGAAAAACACAAAGTAGACTCCATGCATGACTATGTACATTACACTGGGTTACAAAAACAAAGGTGTCTCGGATTTTATAGCTGATTTAGGACATTTTTGCAACACTGAATCCAAACATGACGTCTGATTTTCTGTATCAGGTTTTTATGCCAACTGGATTTTTAAAAATCCATTTTGTCACTAAACCGATGACATTTTTTGACATTAGCGATTGATTTGTTTTAGTATTTCTCATATGAAATCGTATTTTAGAGGAAAATGTTCCTTTTCTAATCCTTTTCATGAGCTACATGATCCACAAGTTGATGAGCGTAAACATTTGGAAAGGTAAATGCGAGCAAATTGCATGTTTCATCAAATCAAAATTTTGACCTCATTGAGCAAAACCAATGTAATATCTGGATTCAGCTCATTGAAACTCTCCAAAATCAGCTCAAAAAACTGACACCAAAATGGGTGTAGACCAGTGTTATCATCTGAGCCATTTCAAGGCTGTCAGGGATTATTTTCTTTTTTAAACCCTCTAAACATGTAACTTTGAGACACAGAGATGAGCTGTAAACTGTGCAATGGAAACACAAACTTCTCACTGTTGTTGATGTTTAACTCATTCTTAATAAAAACACTTTCGGTGGGACATGCAATGAAGCCGGAGCATCGCTGCCTGAAGCAGACAGTCTGCCATCCATTCATCCATTCATCCATTCATCCATCCATTCATTCATTCATTAATTCATTTATTCACTCATACCACCGTGAACCTGCTGGTGTAGCTTCAACTGATGGGTAAAACTATTGCTAAGACTAACTCTAAAATAAACAAGCATGGAACACTTTGCTGCTGGTACAAGAAGGTTCAGTTTTGTCTCCGTTGCACAACTGGGGCAGTAAATCAGTAAATAACAATGTCTGAGAGATCGAAAGAAAAAAACAATAATTAAAACCTGGTGATGGAATTAAACACAGGAACACGCGGGATCGTGCAGTTCACCAGTTTGGTTTGTGAACAAATAGAGAGAAAAATGGAGCAATGTTTAGATAAGTGGGTAGATAAAGAGAGGTACTTTACAGTTTTGGAAAACCTTGAACTTTTACCATGTAATGAAAATCATTAAGGTCAGCTATCTTGGCATCGGCGTGGATTCCAGTCAAGGCTGTTGTTGACAAGAAGCCCACATGAGCGACTGAGTGTGTCATCTCGACTGTATTAAAAGATTAGATGGAGAGCTGTGTCTGTCTTTAGGTAAAACAGGATTGAAACTTAGAGAAGGGATTTTAAACCTCAAATCATTTAAATAAAATATGATCCAGCTGCTTTCTCAAAGTGCCAACTTGTTGAACTAACGACTGCCAATAAATCTATATTCAGAAACAAGAGTTCTCGTTAAAACATTAAAGTTGCCTTTATGAAACCCTATAAGCTGAAAATTCCACGTAAATGTCATTAAACTGCAATGAAACTGTAAAAAGACATCTTCACCTTTAGAGAAAAGGACAGTTTTTTATTGCTTCATGCATTCGGTTGTGTTTTCTATATTTGTTCATGAGGTTTTTACCCTCCTGTTAATAAGACCGTCTGATGATGTCGGTCATAATATAATTCCTCATCTGGCCAGGAGGGAAGCGATATTTGGTTTTAGTGCCGGGAGATTTACCACCAGATAAGTTTGCTCCTGTTCAGTCTAACAGGTATTTGTATCATTTGCTTTTATGTTGTGATGCTGCCGTCTGGACTGATTTTATTTATGGTAACGTTTTGGATATTTTATCCCCTTTTTCTTAGTTTGGAACTCATTCTGTTTTTCTTATTCTGTTGCAGTTTAACTTATTGTATTTTGCAGTGATTGTGTGTAATTTAATAGAGGTGGGATAAGGCATACATTTTTTGTTTTTAAGTAATATTTTTATACCTTTTTTCTTAAACAGAAAATCATGGCAACATTTTAGTATTATTTTAAATTGCTATTTGCTATTATTTAAATTAATTTTACAATTACATGTTGATTTTGTAGCACAAACAAAAACAAGATTACATGAAAATGTGGCCATAAATCAGATCTCCAGGGACCTTAAAATGAGTGGGCACTGTGGAGAAATGTGACTTGTTCACCAAGGACAGTTGGAAACCGACTTCTTGAAGCTGGTCTGAAGTCACACAGGGCACAGAAGAAGCCCTTCATCAACCAAAGGCAGAGGAAAGCCCGGTTACTCTGTGCTGGGCATCACAATGATTGGACTGTTGGTGGTTGGGCTGAGGTTCTCTTCAGTGATGAATCTAATTTTTTATTTTTGCCATAAATGTTGCATAAAGTGGTGTAAGGTGACTCGTGGTTAGCATCGTTGCCTCACAGCTAGAAGGTCGCCAGTTGGCGTCCCGGTGAGGACACCTGGGATCTTCCTGCGTGGAGTCTCCATGTTCTCCCCGTGCAGCGTGGGTTCTCTCCGGGTTCTCCGGCTTCCTCCCACAGTCCAGAAACATGCTGAGGTTAATTGGTGATTGTAAATTGTCCGTAGGTGTGAATGTGAGTGTGCTTGGTTGTCTGTCTCTAAGTGTAGCCCTGTGATAGACTGGTTACCTGTCCAGGTGAACCTGCCTTCACCCTGAGTCAGCTGGGATAGACTCCAGCCCCCCATTACCGTATTGAGGATTAAGCAGTGTGTAGATAATGATGGCTGGATATTGCATAAACACATTTTATGATTAAAATTGCACTCGGTTATCAGGCCAACCCAGGCCATCTGAGACACCTCTATCAGGAATATCTCTAGATGGAATATAAATAAATGATCATATCTGCTTTTATTGATCAGTGTCGTAGGCGTTGACCCTGATGTCGTTGACATCCACGTCCCAAACAAAGAAATACACAGTAGAATATACAGTCATAGAAAAAATAATTACACCACCCTTGTGTTCTTCAATGTCTTGTTCATTTTAATGCCTGGTACCACTAAAGGTTCATTTGTTTGGACGAATATAATGATAACAACAAAAACAGCTCATTAGAGTTTAATTTCAGAGCTGATATCAGACGTGTTCCAGGGTTTTCTAGATAATAACCAAAATCACTGAAGTTCTTCCATCAGTAACTTTGGCATTGTTCTGCCAAAATCAGTGCTTTTAGACGTTCCATGTTTTCTTTTCTGTCTGTTTTAGTCACATGATGCACAGGAGTTACTACTTTATTGTATGACTATTGTTTCTGATGACTACAGTCTCGGCTGCTCTCCACCAGCTTCTGACATGGTTCTGCTGTCACAGCAGCTCATTCCTGCTGCACAAATTCAAACAAATTTGCTTTGTTTTGGGGCTTGTGCTTCTCCATTTTGAGTTTGATGATTTTCAGATGGATGTAGATCTGGTGACTGAGCAGGCCAAGGCATGGTTCCAGCGTTCTGGTTCTCCATCCAGGCTTTAACTGACCTTTAGCTGTGGCAAGGGGCATCGTCTTGTTGGAAAATCCAGTCATTGGAGGCAGGAAAGAGTTTTCCAGCTGATGGAAGAAGACTGTTTTCCAGAGTAGCCAGTACATGACCTGCTTCATTTCATTCGTCAGGTCACATAGTTCCATTTGCCGTGTTCCACCCAGACTGAAACAAGCCCAGATGGTCACTGATCCACCCCCATGTTTTACTGTAGGGGCAAGACA